TTTGTCATATTCAACATAATATAGTTTAGCAATAAGTAATAATGATCATTCATGCATCTACCTTAATATCCCCTATGTTTCAAGTTTTTACATCCGTCTTTCAGTAATGCTATAGGATAAAATTAACTAAAAGATACAAAAGATAATAGAATTAATTATATGAATACACAAAACGTAGATGCATCTTTCTATCTCAATAATTGTTTGGTGTGGAAAGTATATGATGAAACGAAGAGAGGGTAGTTTTGATTGGGCAAATTCCCATTGATTGTAGATGTGGTTGCATAAGACTCAATTGTTTGATTATTGTTGTTTAGGGTTAATCTATATGATCTAAGATTTGTTAGTTGAGTACCGTTTATTGTTCAGACCATCCAGTGGTGATTCTTTTATTCTCATGTTTGTTCTCTATTCTTGGTTAACATTTCTCGCTCTAAATCCTGAAAATTGTTGTATTTATGTGTGTTTGTGACTCAGTTGAAAAATCAGCCAACAGATGCAGAATCTCCACAAGCAACAAACATCTTAAAGACACAGTGTTCTTAAGTTATTTGCTATCTTCTCAATGTTCTCTCCTTATATATAGCTACGTTGTTGCATTATTATAATTGTTTGACATCTACACTTTCTTTTTATAGCAAGCGGTGGGATGGGGAAATTAAAACAAGATGATCAGTGCCAGCAATTGCAGAGATGATGAAATGTTTCATACAGTACTATCAGCACGAGAAATCAGAGGTGGAAGTAGTCAACTACATGTTGTATGCGATCTATCCACGCCATTTGCAATAGATAGCCAAGGGGACACCAAAAGAAGATTCTTCGGTGAGTGATATTATATATATAGATACAATCAATAAACAAAAATATTACCTGTTTATCCAAAGAGAAAATATAAAAAACTAGTTAGATTAATTATATTATATGAGATTACATATAACTTGCGTATTACAACACTCATATTAACTGCAAATAATAGTCACAATGCTAATATTAATTGCAAACATTAGCACAAGAAACCAAAAAACCCGGAAAAGAAACCGATCGACACTTCATATTTCCTGCCGCGACCCTGAGGAGGATAAAGACAAAATCGCAACTAGAGGAAGAAGTCCAGCTCGCTTTGGGAGATGCTTACAATAATCTCTTAAATCTTTATCCCAACGGAAACTGCGCTGAGAGTAGTTCCAATGTAAATAACAAACCCGAAAGGGATACAATAGTAATACTCTCGTCTCACTCCGAGGTTGAAGACTATACAGGAGTAATACTCTTATCCGACGGCCCGTCGGAAGAGGATACAGTAGTGTTATCGGCCCCCAATAACGATAACAATCCTGAAGAGGTTGCAGGAGTATTCATACCGGACATCAATGAAATCGTGGTTGACGATTCTATTGATCTCCTCGTCTCCTTTGTACAGCAAACTAAAGAAGGTACTATAACTTCGTTTTTAACTAATTATTTGACCTAATGAGAAATTACCAAATTATAACCCCATCCTCGTATTCTATTTTAGATACTTCGCTTGTTGCTGAAGCCGCTAATCCCGAGCAAGAGGGAGAAGTAAAGAAAAATATATTATCTATATGGCAGCGCTAGCTGTCAGTAATCTTCGAGAAGGGGAAACTGCTTTAGCCGCTGCCACCTCGGGTTCTTTTACGGAAATTTTTGATCGGTTGGATCAGCTTGAGACCCTTCCAGAACCATATTACAACGCCTAGTGATTTTGATCTAGCTAAGTGTTTGGTAAGACTGCGAAACAATGGCGAAGATGGGTTCTAAGAATTTGTTTTTATTTGAAAGGATTTTATATTTCCGTCCCACTTCATCACGCACATTCTCAATTCCAAGAAAAATTCGTAAGAAAAATAATTATAAATAATTCTAAGAGGTAAATGTCCTGAAGTTTTTAACGTGCGGAGTTTCAAGATAAGTTAGCCAGCGAAGTCGCTGGCCCTTGATCCCTCACGACAAACATTTCAAAACGTTTGTATCTATAAATTTTCATTATAATGAAAACAAAATAAATACAGAAGAAAGAAAGCTCATAATATGAACTCATTACAACCTAACCCTAATGAGACTGTATGAAAGTACTTTGTTTTTCACCAATGCATATTGTTATATAATTCACAGGTTTAAATAGAACAATCTAGACATAAATTTCTTCAACTAGAATATTTGGCAGTTCTAGACATAAATTTCTTCAACTAGAATATCTAGCACCTGCTCCAAATTTGGGAAAGTATTAAATCTCTGTGTTGTATCATTGTATGTTCACCAAATTAAATTCTTGAAATTAATTAAAAAATTTGTTTATAGTAAAAAACTAAATTCAAATAAAAGAAAAAAGAAACATACAAAACCATTGTCATTAATATTCATTTAAATGGAAAGACTAGATTAGGCAAACAAATTAATATATATTCATTGAATATAGCAAACAGACAAGACCACCCAGATAGATTTCTTTTTTGCCCAGAAAACTTATAAATGGTAAGAGAACACAACATTTTAAGACCATGGAAATCCTATTAAATCTCTATAATAAATTAAATTGACCAAAGACTGCAAAATCTGGCCGTTTCTTTCCTCTCTAATACGTGCTTACCTGAGCCCTGTTGCATGTAGATGACAACTCAAAAACTAGGGCTGAGCGGTCTGGGTACCTGGTACAATTCCAAGGAACCGGAATCGGAACCAAAACTGATCGGTTCCTTGGATTTGGAACCAAAATCAAAATCGAACGGTTCTGATTTCGAGTAGCCTGTAACTTTATTATACCCCCTTGATAGTCTAAAAATGACAAATATACCCTTAAAATTACAATACACCCCTAAATTTTATAAAAATTATAAATACACCCTGAGTACTCGTTGGTTCCACCTCGAGTAGCCAAACCTCTGTTCCGAGTCCGATTCCTGAAGTGTGTAACCGGACACAAACCGCATAGGGCCGGTTCCACCAAATTTGGAACCGGAACCAACCCTATGTGGGCCAGTTCCGGTTCTACTATTTACCTATACTCACCCCTAAAAAGAATCTCTCTATCTTTAACACATGCATACAAACAATTATGATTTAATACTACAAAATTAAACAAATGGGATGTTTTAAAAGAGGACTTTCTGAATTTAAAAAGAAGGAACAAATGCTGATTTGATATTTTGCAAGTAAAAGTTTTAGAGAAGGTAAAGAAAACGAAAAAAATCATTTTAGATGAGAGAATCAATAAAATTCAAATTATTAAGCCAACATTTATAATATTCTTTTGAATTAACTGATGTATTAAAACATACACATCACCATAATCTAAAACTAGAGCCAAAGAATTAACTGCACGATGGCCATTTCATAAATTATGTATAATCTAATAAATATTACATTAAGGGATTACAGTTAAATTTTTGTTGATCATGGCCATCCCAAGTCGTGGTATATATAGTTACTTCATTGTCTTCCATCATCAATGTATATTAGCATCGACGCCTGAATTAGACTCTCTGACGCCACCTACATCAAGGTAATGGTATTCCTCCGATGCAATCATGCAAGCTAGTAGCTTGTGTTAAAGAAATTAATACTAAAATTTGTTGATATGGATTTTATATATGATGAGGTTTAAAGGTTGAGATTCAATTTAGTTGTCTCATAATCATTCATCCTAAATACACGTTTATATCATTGAATGAATGAATAGTAACTGTAGTAGTATTCTATGCGAGAAAAAAAGAAAAGTATACTGTCTGGAATTTCACTTCTATCCCAAGACATTTTTGTGCTTATTAAAGATATATCATTTTTCTAATCATCAGATAATAATTTCAAAGGCATTCATAAATTGAGGTAAATTGTGATTTGAAGATGTTTGAAATGTGCATGAGCCAGTGACAAGAAAGCAGTTCAGGTCACTAAAATCTGTTTTCATTTACTTAAAATGGAAAAATCACAGAAACCAGCGAGCCACCATCACAATTCGACCATTTCAAGGTGAGGTTGCAAGCAAGTCTTTCCTTTTTATTCTCTCACTTCTGCGTGTTATTACTGCACAAATGTATTTTATGTTGTAGGTTTCGCAGAGCTGGAGTCAAGAGAAGAAACGAGCTTCCAGCCTTAACCTTCATGATTCATGAATACCCACCTGAAAAAATAACATGGGTTCTTATGGTAGATGAAAGGCAAGACTGGAGCCCATTTATTGAAGAAATTCCAGATGAAGTGAAACTCGGTTTGTTCATCAATCGCGAAAATTAAAATAAAAAAAGCGCATCTTAACTAAGGTATCTATCTCCTTTTCCGAGACAAAATGTTTTTCATTAAATAGTTTTATGCTCTTTTGGTGAGATGAGCAAATCGTGTTACATATGCATTCATTCTGTAAACAGCTGTAAATCTTTTCCTTATTTATTTTTGCAGGTTTGACTGATAATTACATTGAAAAAGCAGAGGATAGGAGACAAAATTAAGCAGCGGGGTGCTTAATTCAGGAAGAAATCTCTGTAATGTGCTTTAAGATGACTCGAGAAAACAGCTTTAAGATACAAAACTTGGGTTCTTGAGTCTGAAATTTTATGACGATGATAACTCTTTCAAGTATGTTGTGTGTTTATGTAGTTACTTTCTTTTTCCATTTATTTTTTATTTGGTTGTTTCCGTGGATTACTGATGCACATTTCACATTACTCAAAACAGAAGACCAGCATTTCCCCAGTTCCATATCCATAGCAATAGCGCATTTGGAGCTTCACGATCTTTGATGCTCAGATTAAAAACTAAAGTTCGCATCTGGGCTCAGCTCTTCCATGCTTAAAGCTTACCAAAGGTTGATGGAGACATGCTTCGACGGCTAATTGCTTATCGCGAAATGCATATTCAGATATTCATTGGCATGTTATACGATACATTAACAGTTGATGAACCATATAGACATAGATCAATTTGGTTTCACATTATAACACCTAATCAAAATAGTAATGATATTGAGAATGAGACATGATTGGAATATAGTTATAAAAGTAGAATGCATGATAGAGCAAGTTCAGCTCATGCTACATTATATTCAATCCAGGCTGCGAGTAAAACGTTATTACAGTAATTATAAATATAAAGTATAGCAGAATTTTCAAACAGTAATGGACACCTGAACAGCAAAGATATTATTAACATACAATTCCAACTGAAAGACCGGTGCCATACAAAATCACCAAATATGTTTACCGGAACTTCCTCACCGGCCATTGGGCTCTGGTAGCCGGGGCCTGCACCCCATCTGCTCAAGAAACTTAGTAAGACGCAGGTGCTTTGCAGCCCATTGCTCAGCCAATTTCTGCTCCTTGGCTTCTGCATCCCTCCTCAGTCCAGCAATTTGTTCTCTGTATTCAGCTTCAATTCTATCCAAAGTAGCCCTCTGTTCTTCCCGAAGAGCTTTCACCTTAGCCTCTATCTCTTCCATTTTCTCCCTCCTCCGACATGCCTTCTCTGATTCCAGCTGCAACTCAACCCTTCTCAACCTCCATGCTGCTTCCTTCTTCTGTGCTGCCCAAGCACGATGCCCTTCTTCCAACTCTCTGCAGCAGTCTACCAGCTCAGATACCAATAGGTTCTCCCCACAAGTGGGAACTGAGCCATGAAGCGGCAAATTTCCCAGAACAAGAGGGGCATTATCTGGCCCCCTCTCAGGCTGCAGCCATGGGATTGGAGGAGTAGTTGCCACTGTTGAGGGAGACAGAGTCAGGGTTACAGAAGGGGATGGTGGCCTGATAGTCGAGGTTCCATTGGAATTAGAAAGCCAGGGGGGTAGCAAAGTTGAAGGGGTGGGAGAGTCAGTCTGAAGAAACCCTCCATTCGAAGCAGCCATGACAAATGCACCGTCTTTCACTAGCTTCTCTGCAAAAGTCTCTAGAATCTGATCGTACTTGCGCTCCTCAATTGGATTAACTGGTGTGCTGTTATCCTTTTGTTCCCTCTGCTGCTTCTCTTTGAACACTTCCCACCACTTGCCAAGTCTCTTGGCAGTGCGGCCAGGGACTTCAGCTGCAATTTTCTTCCACTTGTTGCCGTGTTTGGCTTGAAGACGTATGACAAGATGCTGCTCCTCTTCAGTAAGAGATCCCTTCTTGATGCCGGGTTTGAGGTAGTTCTTCCACCTTTCTAAGCACGATTTTGCGTCCCTGTTTAGGGGCGTGTTCATGCGCTGTGATACAAGGCTCCACTCCCTTGGGCCATATTGTTTTACGTAAGCACGTAACAAAGCATCCTCTTCAGCTTTCCAACGCTGTCTCTCCTTCATTTCCGGGTGCAAACACCACTGCCCATTGTGTTAAGCTCTTCATAATGTATCTGAAATATTGGAAGCGGTGAAGGTATTATTGCAAGAGAGCCACCATGGCATCATATGTAGTGTAAAAACAAAACAATACGAAGAAGAGGAAGAGGAGTTTCCCTAGAAGAAAAAAGGAACCAGTATAGTCTAAAAGATAAAAATAAAGCGAGAAAACGTCAATGCAAAACTGTGACAACCTAAAAAAACAAATAAGAAGCTATTTCTGCTCTGCACAGACCATTTAGTAAGAACATGGATCAACTAATGAGTAAAGTCTCAAAAATGGAGGCAACAAATGCAAGCTCCTTAACCGACCAGTCAAATAGTTTTCCAAGATACAACATTCTCAGTCACGCCCACAAAATGAGAAAAAAAAACAAAAAAAAAGTTTACCAACAGGTTCCACAGAGATTAATGGAAATCCTTGGAATAAAAAACAATCAGGAAATCTGTAGATACCCAATGACAAAAGATGACTATGTTGAACATCAATTAATACAGAAAGACCAACTTTTCTTCATATCATGAGGCAGGAATTGACAACAAATAGCTCATACAGCAACTGGTCGAGTATGACATCAAAATTTCAGCTAACTTTAATAAAAAAGGAAATCACTGTTCAATTAAAGGTAAAAAAGAGATCTTTCAGTCCACCAAGCTTTAAAGATAAAACAGGATTCAACTATTTTAGTTTGGAAAGAAGATGTGTTGATCCTTTAATTTCCACTAAGAAGTTGACAAAATTGGTAGTACATTATTAAAGAGAAAAAATATATATATAAAAGAGCACTAACTAATTCAACTTGGCGTTGAATTAACTACCAAATACAAAATGAACCATGCACACAAATGAAAAACAGAGAGTTCACGTGATTTCCTACATTGCTAGTAACATTAAGAACTCAACTCCCAACTTCTGAAATCTAAAATGCTACTTTCTACACCCAGGAGAAATATCAATACTGGTATCAACTATACATTATGAAACAAGATCATTTTCCCAAAGGAATTGCTCTCCTACCTGGAGCAGAACCTGGGTAAAAAAAGACTGGAATCATCAAATTTCAGTAATCATATCATTGAAACATAATATTGAAAACATTTGACATAAAAGTAAAACTAAATAAAAGTTTCACATATTTTCAATTTATTAACAACATAGAGTGATCTACAACTTTGACGTCGCATTGGCCAGAAACATAGTGTTACTGTTACACTATTTTGTATTTCAGAAACTCACCCAAGACATAATAATGGCGCATATAAAAATTTAAAAGAGCCACTGATCTGAATATTTTTCTCAGCAAAGATGAAGTAATTATATCATAAAACATGACTTTTTGGCTAGTATTCAAATGTTAGCATTAAAACAGAAAATTGATCTTATACACGGTGACCAGCATAAATATGATTCACAAACCTTAATTGTTGACAAGACTCGTGCTTTTAATAGCACAAAACCATATGATTCCATTTAGTTAAAAAGAAAGCCAAAAAAAATGAAAAAATTGGAAATCAATTACCCACAAAGTGCAAAAGTCATGTCTACAAAAAGGAAAACAACTAAACAAACGATGGTGCAACTAACGATGCAGTTAAGAATTAAGAACGTGTTTACTTTTGCTTATTCATACATAAATTATAGCTTGTTTACCAGATGAAGATCCTTGTAAGCAATCTATTTGAGTTATAGAAATCTAAAACTCACCGCTCTATAGAGAGGGTTTCCTTGAAATTGAAAAATCTTATCACTGAAAAAAATATTATCTCACTTTTCTCAACAACATAGAGAGACGGACATGAAAGAGAATTACTTAAACAATTATTATTAACTTGAACATAACAGAAAGAAACCAAAGAACAGTATGGAAGACAAGCTCACATTTCTTGACTTCAAGTGTTGAAAATCCAACTGTGTCTTCTTTGCATCTCCGGCTACCTTCTTCAGTGAAACAGAGGAAATAAATAAACAAAAAAAGAAAAAAAGAACAAACAAACAATCTAGAAACGGCAAAAGACTGTAATTAACCCTAGAGAGACGTATAAAACGAACAAATCTCAGACTACAGAGAGAGAAAACGGACAAAGAAGAGACTAGAGAGACTGCCCAAATTATAGCAAATAAATAGAGAAATGAGAGTTTAATTTAATTTAAAGGAAAGATTAGACTAGAGAGAAAAATAGAAAAACAGTAAACAGAGTAACAGAACAGTGATTTTAAAGGAGAAATCTGACAAATGGAGCGGAAAAGGAGGGCACGCGAATGGGAAGGAAAAGAAACCAAAAACAATGACGTCTTATAAAGAATGTTATGTCGTCAGCTCAGCTCTGGGTGATGTTCAATGTTCATGTTCCCTACAGTTCGTTCACCCAACAACACTCACCACCATCGACTCTTAATCTCTCTCTACTGCTCATAGATGACTCTCTCACTCACTCACATCTATGTTTATAAGCTTAAGCTAGAACGAGAAACTGTACTTTGCATTAGTAAACAAACGGCGTACGCTCGATTTCAGCGCTTAAAATGCGCCTCCTTCCCTCATTTTTACGCGGTCTTCGTTTATCTTCTGTTTCACTTTTTTTTTTTTTTCTTCTCTCAGAATTTTCCAGGAATAAATGCCATGAACATTAATAACTACACACGATGATGCCACGTCATCAATTCCTTAGTACGATTAAACTTAATATTAATCGGGGCAAATAGTCAGGCGGGCGGTTAATATTTGGATCCGGTAAGTGAACTTTACTTGGTCACACCTGAAACAGGGAATTGTATAGTACAGTGAATTATTTATTGGGAAGCGGGAAACATCTTGCACGTGTCATCTAGTGGATTAGGTATTATTTCTCTGACTCACGTACAAACCCTGCACCCAGTAGTCCACCCAGCAAATCCTCCTTAATTTTGATTAATTACCATTAATTCTTACTTAATAACCATATTAAATGAGGATTAAGAGAGGTAATGATTGGTCAACGACAGCAATAAACTAAAGACAAATCACAGCGCACAATAGCAAAACAGTGATAGATGAGAGACAATGCTAGTATAGGGTGAAGGGCAATAATTATACTAGTTTAAACTTATTTATGCTAGGATCTGACCGTTCGTTTCAAAAGTATAAAGAAAAGGTTGACCTTTTGATCATATAAATTCATAAACCTTGATCTTGAGGGGAAAAAAGAAAAAAAAAATTCTGATTTCATGACGTCACCGTCAGTGAAACGACAGTAGTTCTTTCTTCAGTCAATTGATGTTGAACCCTGGGACCCCATAGTATCACCTTCACCGCCCCTGAGCCTCCCCGGCTAGAACATTGATTAGTGTAGTTTCTATTTTTATGATAATTATTTATTTTTTTTTTTACTTTTTAAAAAGCTGTCGAGATTGAAATTTTTTTTCATTATAAAGAAGGAGAAAAAGGTAGTAGGTTGTGTGGGGACCCGATGGGGGACTGTAGTCCGCGTTTCGCGGCACAAGGATACGAGTGTGATGTTGACACGACGTTCTGCTACTACTCAGGCGCCTTGCAGGTTTTCTCAGTGATACGTTACGTCGGTTTTTCACATTCTCCCTTCTCTTTTCTCTTCTTTTTTACGTGGTGGGACAGGCCCTTCCATCTTTTTCATTTTTTAAAAATAAAAATAAAAATCATTAAATTGTAGTCCCTTGATATTTTTCTCAACTAACACTTTAGTCTCATAAATTTTAAGTTGAAAATTTTCACACTAAATCTATCACAAAAGGACAATTTTTCCCCGATGTTACCCACAATTTCGAATTAAAACTTAACCTTGAAAGGGTTATATTGTCAATCTATAATATTATATTAGATTTTCTATCTCCATAATGTTATATATTCTAATGTAAATTAACGAGATTGTCTTTTCACGGTTAAATTGTAATGTTTAAATTCAAAAAATGGGAATGATCTTGGATATTTCTTAAACAAGAGGTCACGAAGAAACCATCAATTAAGACTTTAGGGTGTATTACTCAAGAGGTCATGAGTTCGATTCTCCTATTAATAGGTGTGACCACTAGAACTCTCATTCGATCGAGTCCTGAGAGATTAATTAAAGTACACAAAAACTGATAGAAATAAATATAAATAAAAAAGGTCATGAAGATTAGAGATCAAAATTCATTCTACCAAAATAGTGATGTCTTAGTCTCTATCAGCTACATTTTAGTCAGTAAGTTTTGCTAATAATAGCCAAACCTCACTGAGAGATCAAAACATTATTACAAGACTAAAGTGTTACCTAGTCAAACCTCAAGGACGAAATTGTTATTATCCATTCCATCCTTGGATTACGTCTTTCTCGGATTTCTTTGCTATCCTTTCCGCCCTTCATGTCACTTCAACTAATTAATTCACAAGATATTAGAACATCTCAGGAGTCAGGATCCATCCAAGTATTTTACATGCTTTGGTCTAACAAATCTTTAGGGTTTTTTTCTGGTGGAATTTTGTGATTAGAATGGTGTAATAAAATAAGAATAGAGAAGGATGCTGGGCTAAATCTGGATTCTGGAAAAAGAATGACAGAAGGGGTATCTTTGGAAATAATAAAGATTGATTTGACGTATCAATCATATTGTAAAATTGAGGGAGATCCTGATCCTCCCTAATATCTCCGTTCTGAACCCACCTCTGAAAAGGCAGAAGCTTTTATGGTAGGGTAAGGGAGAATTCAATTTCAATTGCCTAGGAAGTAAAAATACGTATCCGCTTTGAACGACAGCGTTCCACTCTAACCTAAAATGAACACCACAATCTCCAAACAAAGGATAAAAAGTATATTATATTATTAAACAGTACAAAAAAGCCTGCAAAATTCATTGGGATCGGTGAGATGGGTATGGGCGAGATGGACCCTCTGGTTTGAACCAGTGGGTCTAGTCTGAGTCTGACCTCTCTCGGCCTGAGCCATATTTTCTCAACCCAACCAAAACCTGGTTCAGTCAAAGTAAAACATCCCAACGTCCCTAAACCCAAATTTTACATTATAAGGCTGCTTACAGCCCCCTCCTTGTTGAGGGTTTAAGGCACAGCTCCTTCACTTGCAGGCCACTTTTTCAACTCCCTTTTATCAGAGCCCAAACAAAATGGAAGATTATCAATCAGAAAAAAAATCTTTTTTTTTCCTTTAAAGTTTGATGAGTGAACCAATCTTTTACTTTAATGGCGTTGCCTTTCTTTGAAGAGAATGCACAGAATTTGAATTTAACTTTAGGGTGTGCTTGGTATAGAGAATGTTGTATTATTGAGAATATTATATTAATGGAAATAAAAATTACCTTAAAGATTATTGGAAATGTTTAGGAAAATGTGTTTGGTTAGATTATAATAAATTGATGGATATGTTTAGTTGGGAGGATAAATAGTAAGTAAGTTATATAGATTACTAAATTACCCTCCTTCTACAATATTAATGTAATATTATTTTATTATTGATTTTTTAATCAATTCTTTTAACCCCCTATATTTGAAATTTTGCTAAAACATAGCAGTCATATAAAACTTTAATTTGTAGTAAAATCACTCATACTCACCAAAAGTATTGTCGATCGTCGGCCACCAGCATTGGCAGTTGCTGTAACAGCACACTACCGACTAGATCTAGCCAGTAGTGTGCCGTTAAGGCAGTTTCCAACTAGCCAAAATTACTAGATGTGGTTGTGAAATGGCCACAGATTTGGCCATGAAAATGTCAGATCTAGCGGTCGTAAAATAGCCAGCATTTCACAATTGCCAGATTTGGCCTTTTACCGGCTAGATATGGTTGTTTCCGACATATCCATGGCCAAAAACAACATTATCAACGCACGGACAGCCAAACATGGCAATTCTGTGCCGTTCCGATGACTACCGACGGCTGGCAATCCCTTGGCTGGCTAGGGTGGTGGCTAGGGGTGGCTGTGCTCTTGGGTAATTTTGTCTTAAAAATCCTGAGTATGAGGTTAAAATTATCCATAAATTTTATTGTAAATTATTTAGATAACAAGGGTATTTTTGTCCTAAAAGTTTATTAATAATGGATAAAATTGTAATAAAAATAAAATTACCAAGTAATCTTAAAATACCTAAGAAAATTGAGATAATCATATTACCAACTATAATTATTATTGGTTTTGAAAAATTATCAGATTCTTATATTACTTAACAACTAAACGTGGTAATCAAATAATATAAGATGACATTAATCTCATACTACCCTCAACCAAACACACCCTTAGGGATTTAAAAGGGTAGGCTTATTAGATTAAAGTTAAAGCTGTTATACTAAAAGAAAAATAACATAAGTTTCACTTGTGCATTTAGGGGACAATTTTATCATTCAAGGGATACTTTGTGACAAAAGATGCTTATACAGTAAAACCTCTTTATAGTAATACTTTATATAAGAATAAACTCTATATAGTCATAAAATATTCAATTCCCAATTTGGGATAGTTATAAATAAGAATAAACTCTACATTGTAATAAGTTATAATATTTCTAATTCCCGTCTTAAGAAAAGTTGTCTCCACATAGTAATAATTATTTATATATTGTAAAAAAATATATGTTATGTTACATTAAAGATTTAAGATGAAATAAAATATTTATCTGAAGTTGTTTGAGATAATGATTTATGCTTTAGAGTTGTTACTACATCTTTTAACTTGCAGATAGGTTACTCGTTAACATGAACATCTTCTTGTTAAAGCCATATATTTTTAGTTTCTCAAGTGTGTTTAAAGCTTTTTGGCAAAAACTTTTTGTATTTCTGTACTATCATCCTCATGATTATTTCCTTTATCTTCTTGTCTAATTGTAGTAATGATTTCTTCTTTAATTAAAGCATACATGACTTATTGCTTATTTGGATGATTGAGAAAGACATTAATATCCATTCGATTAGTGTAATAAAGCTGTCGAATCTGATCACTAAATTCTACAATGACTCTTTGATTCTCCTCATCCACTTCATTTGTAACTTGCAATTCATAGACACCGGGGATCCTAATTTGATAATGATTAAAATAATTGGCAATAGTATGTGGTTTCACATCAATTTGCTATATAATTTTGTAATGATTAAATCAATTGGCAATAATATATGGCTTCACATCAATTTGTTATATAATTTTGTAATGATTAAAACAATTGATAATAGTTTGTGACTTCACATCAATTTGACTATACAGAAACTACATTTACAATTTCATCAAGGACACTTATCTTTGCTAGTTTCAAGACACGATTTTCTATTCGTTTCAAAAATAGGCAATTGAAACGTTGAATTGAAATCTTAATAGTATTAAAACATCGATTGAAATTTTAATACTGTACTATTAAAACATGAATTATAAAGAAATTTTTGTTACCACACCTTTATTAAATTATAACCTCCTCATATTAATAAAATTAATTAATTCCACCATTATGACTATAGAGAGGTTTTACTGTATAAAGTATCATTTAAGTGATAAAAAGTGTTTGTTTATTGATATAAATAATAGAGTAAACGACGCATTCCCACCCGAGCTTTAGCAAAATCCTAAATTGGTATCCTTTATTGCATTTATTTCGAATTCTTACCCTTAAACTAACACCGTTAGTGACTATTGGAGGTGGTTAGAAATATGAGTAAGGTCGGCAAGTGAAGGTATTGGTTTTTAGAGGAGGTTGTTGGGAGTCCAACAGTGGTCTCGTAAGTGATTTTGGACTTCATAATCAACCAGAAAAAGCCAAAAATCGCCAACTTGGACGTTGCTAACGTGAGCCACTTTTTACTAAAATGAGTCAATCTTATGCTAAAGAAAGCACCAATGCACTTTAAAGTACTAACGTGCGCCGCACTACAGTATAAAGTTGAAAATCTGTTCAAATAAAAAAAATAACGTTACTTTAAGGGTAAGAATCTAGAATAAATACAACTAGAGGTATCAACTTAAAATTTCGTTAAACCTTAGGTGAAAATATGTCGTTTTCTCTAAATAAAAATAGATACATATACGACCAAAAGTCATTGTTTCTAATATAGAGTTCACGCGGAGGCTCCAATTTCGTACTCAGACTTGCGAAACAAGTGTTGTAGATTTCTGAATTAACAAAAGAATCAGTAGTGGAATGTCCCTTATGCAACATTTTTGTGGTTTTTTTTTTTTTTAATTATTTTATTTTATATCTATTATAAGGCCTAAAACAATTATGAAACCCAAATAAGGAATAGGTTTGTTCTTCTTATGAACTAAAGCCCAATTATATATTCAGACCAATAATGAAGAACAAACCTAAACCCAAAGTTGAGTCCAATAGGACCAGAATTAATAATATACTCCCGACCTGCAATTAACAACAAAATAAAGATTATTGTTATTCATCAAGTGATAATTTATATTAATTTAAATTTATGGAGAACGTGGGAACCTAAATTTTGCATGCTGGTTATTGAGACGTGGCTAAATATTTAACTCCATAAAAATTATATATTTGTCTTCATACATGCACTAATCATGATTATACGATAATTAATCTTTCTTTAATTAATATCATATTCAAGTGAGAATTTAAAACTGAAAAGTGGTTTAATTAATATCGTTTTAATTTAATTCCATAAGGAGCAGAGAATGTTGTTGCCTGAATTGGCAGTCGGTGCGAATTTTATTTTATTATTATTTCAATATAATCTTTGTCTGTATTGTTTGTTGGTAGGGTCAATCACCCATACAAACATTTGGAAAATTTAGACACCCAAATTATTCCTATATAAATAAATAAATAAAATATTTCCGTGTTTTTCAAGTAATTCATATGAAATTATTCCAATGTTAAATGAGTTTATTTCAAAATTTTCTTGGGTTTAAAATAGTTAAACCCCGTGTGTTAGTTATTTTTGTAGTGAATATTAATTGGTTTTGGAAATGCGACTGTAACCTTTGTTATTACGGATCATTAGGTCATTCGATTTACGTTTGAAGGAAATAACGTTTTTTAACATTCATCAAAATCTAATTAATCTAACATCCGAAAATCCTGTCAGCAATGTTGAGAGGTTGATATAATTTTTTAAGGTTAAACGATAACATTATCAAAATCAATAGATGTTCTACAATAAAAGTCAAACACATGAAGTTTCGATCGTATTTTCAAAACTAACCGATGCTCATTAATAAAAACCAAACACGCAAGGTTAGGGTTGCATTCTAAAACCCACATATTCTTACTTCAAAGTTCAAACAGATTAAACACACATGAATTTACTTTTTACTACAAAAAGGTTAAATACACATCAATTTATTATTTAAAAAAAAAAATCTTTTGTTGTAGGATCGTTTATTATGAAACTTATCGACTTTATTTAAAAAGCATTAAATATAACTCACTTAGAAATTTTTTGATAATTTTATAAAAGTATTTGATATTTTTTTTTAATATCTTTTAAAGGAAGTTTTGGTATCTATCTACTCTGTTAATGAAACAAAAAAAAAATCATTTAAAATGAAGCAATTATTAAATGTTTTTGTTAATTAAAAAGGAATAGATAAAAAAAAATGTAAATATCGAGAATATTTTGCGTGCACATGGGGGTAAAGAAAGTACCAGTTTTTAATCACTTTCCTCATGTGACAAAAAGTTATGATAAGAGTTTGGACTAATAATTGAGGATCTTACGACACCTCTAATCATTACCATCGAATCCGACGGCCCAGAATCACCGCAGCCATAGAAAGAGACAATGCTACGAGTCATGATGATGATGGGAAGGATGTCATTAATAATTAAATCATTTAATTACAAAAGTTAATTAATTTAATAATAAGAATATTAAAAACTGTAATGGTAAGTATGGTTTCAGTTCATGGTTGTTTGTTGGGGTAACAAAAAAGACAAAGACACTAGAAACCAAGTCAACTGTCTTTGGTAGGCTAAGGTCTTTAATGGCCAACAACAAATAAGAAAGTAAAAATGAATACAACTTTCAATAACAAAGACCACTTTTTTCCTCCCTTTTGCTCTGCTTTCAGCTATCTTTTAATTCAGTTTTCAAGCCAAATCCACTCTTAAAGTTCCCAGAATCTCATCACCAACAAAAAACTGATCTTCTTTTTTTGTGTTGGAATTCTGGGTTCAGTTTTTTTTTTTATAGGATCTTTGTTGTGTGTAAATGGGAGCTTGTTGGAGCAACCGGATCAAGGCTGAGAGTCTTTCTAATACAGGTATTTTTAGTTGTTAAATGGTTGATTAATGATTGATTAAGTTTTAGTTGTGAATTGATTGGCTTGTTAATGAAGTTTTTGGGATGTTTTGAGAATGTTTCAGTAACGCACTCAACTTCATTTTCTGATTCTATGGATGTTATTTTAGTGAGATTTGTTAATATGATGATAGTTGTTATGTATGTGTTGGGATTTTTATGTTTGAGACTTGTTTAATTGCATAGCAGAATAAAGACACACCTCTGATTTACTGTTCTTCTCTGTCGTTTGGATTGGATGTTGTATCTTTCTATGTTAAGTTTGTGATTTTGTAGGACTTTCAGTGTGCTAATTTCTAACATTTTTATAGTATTTGTGTTAATGGAAGGAGTTTGTGATCTGGAGTTTGTGATCTCTACTTTAAACATATTGGTTTTACTTTTTACAAACCCCCTTTATATGTTCCTATCGTGTAGAAGTGAATTCAAGAGGTGGAAAGAACTTGAGCTCTTCTAGTAGCAAGGTCTCTTCAGCTTCTGTACCTCAAACCCCGAGGAGTGAGGGCGAGATCTTGCAGTCATCGAATATAAAGAACTTCAGCTTCAGTGACCTGAAGACCTCAACCAGGAACTTCCGGCCTGATAGCGTCTTGGGAGAAGGCGGTTTTGGCTCAGTCTTCAAGGGATGGGTTGACGAGCATTCGCTTACAGCTACCAAGCCTGGCACCGGCATGGTGATCGCTGTGAAGAGACTTAACCAAGATGGATATCAGGGTCACAAGGAATGGCTAGTAAGTTCAGATTTTGGTTGCTCTAATTTGTGGGTGATTGATTTGAACTTGTTTGAAGTGAGGACTATATAAAATTTCCTTAACTGATATGCTCTCTTTGGTACCTCTCTTTATGGCATGGTATTGATTCTTTTTCATGTTTTTGGGCATACAGACAGAAATTAACTATCTTGGGCAATTCCATCATCCTAATCTTGTGAAGTTGTTTGGTTACTGTTTAGAGGACGAGCATCGGCTTCTGGTATATGAGTTCATGCCTCGCGGTAGTATGGAGAATCATTTATTCAGGAGTAAGTTCCTCATATCCCTATACTTGTTCATATTATTCCATGAAGAGAAGCATGTTACAGCACTATTATGCCCAATACTTATCCTATAATGAAGCATTATTATGTACATTGAAACAGGGGGATCACACTTCCAGCCTTTTTCTTGGAGCCTCAGAATGAAAATTGCCCTTGGTGCTGCAAAGGGGCTTGCCTTTCTTCACAGTGCTGAACCGAAAGTTATATATCGTGACTTCAAGGCTTCTAATATCCTGCTTGATTCGGTATGCAACTTGGCCAGATCTTTTAATGTCATTTCCGTAACTTACTTGAATTTATTCTGGTCTATGGTTCATCAGAATTTACTTGCTGCACCGCTGACCTTTTTTTACTATGTTGGCAGAACTACAATGCAAAACTCTCTGATTTTGGTTTGGCCAGAGATGGACCGATTGGTGATAAGAGCCATGTGTCTACTCGGGTCATGGGAACATACGGATATGCCGCTCCAGAGTATTTAGCCACAGGTACAAACATGAGAAAATTCTTAAGTGAGACAGACACACTATGTCATCCGTATTTTACGTCTTTTTATTATTGTATTATTGTACTTCTATCCAATACAAAAATCTACTATCTTGGCCAGTTGTTTTAAAAATTAAAACATGTTTTTATTGGAAACACATACAAAAAGAAGAAGAAGAAGAAGAAGAATGACTTCTACTGGGATGTTCTGGCTGCATTTACTTATGTGTTATTATTATTGGAATGTACTGAGCAGAAGTGATGTATGTGGCCTGATCATTAATTTCGTTTTCTATTTGGAAGGTCATTTGACTGCCAAGAGTGACATATACAGCTTTGGAGTTGTTCTTCTGGAAATGTTATCTGGGCGACGAGCTATTGACAAAAATCGGCCATCTGGAGAACACAACCTTGTGGAGTGGGCAAGACCTTACCTGATCAACAAACGAAGAATATTTCGTGTCATGGATCCCCGCCTTGAAGGTCAGTACTCACTGCCTCAAGCGCAGAAGGCAGCTACTCTTTCGCTTCAATGCCTAGCTGCGGAAGCCAAGTACAGACCAGACATGGATGAGGTGGTAAAAGTGTTGGAACAACTTCAGGAATCAGGAAACATATCAAAAAGTTCTCAAAAAGAGCACCATGGACGAGGTCACATTCATTCGAATGGTCGAAAAACTGCTTATCCCAGGCCTTCTGCTTCCCCGCTTCGTGCGTAGGGAAGATGAAAATGATCTGCTGCAGCTATTTTTTCATTATTTAAATGCATCTTGGGTCTTGGCAGTATTATAACCGAGTTTGAGAATTGTACAGTTCTTGTTTAGCGTTTAGACATGTGAAACGTTTTTGGTTCACGCCCAGGTTGCTGCAAGATTGCAATCTGAGTTCTCTAAATATTTAGTTGTACTAGGAAAAAGTGTTTGAAATATGTAGGAGATTCTGTTACATGTAACTGGGCTTATTTGAGTTGTCTAAATATTACCTAGTTCTTGGGTTGATGTAACCTTGATTTTGTACTTAATGGAGAGATTGAATCTATTGATCTCCCTTTCTTCACACTCTACTATGTCCAGAAGTGAATTACATTGCATTTTCGTCCAGATATTGGTGTGATTTGAAATCGACAGAGCCCTACCCTGAAGAAACATGAAGTAGGATGTTTTCTTTTCAATGAAGAGTTTGAATCATGATATAAAATGAACAGAATTTAGCTGCTAACAAAATGCACCTGTTTTGCTAGTCTAGAGGAAAACATGCTTTGTCGATAATGAGCGGAACAAGATGTAGCTCATACGAAACAAAACCAGTATTTTTGCTATTGCAAAGATACAAACCAAGATAAGAAAACAAAAACAATTTGGTGAGATCAATGTTCTAGGGCAATTCATCGCCCTAACAGGGCAACACGATCCTTCTGTATAGCCTGGGATAGGTTGATGTCAAATAGTTCACATCGAATGGGCATCTCCATCTCATAAAAGGGATTCTTCAGTACATAATCTGTGTACAGTTCATAGATGACTTTCAAAAGACTCTCCATGTGCGGCGTTCCAGGTTCACAGACCACAAAGAACTTTGTCCCTGTACAACAAAATTGACAAGAATTCCTTTCAGCATCAGAAGAATATTGTCAATTTTTCACACTTGAAGAAATACGCCCCTTGAGTATTTCTCAAGGATCAATGAAATTATTGCAAAAACATCATTTTTTTTTTTTTTTAAATTACAGTTAACGATGGGAATGATACATATTCTTATGTTTGTAGATTTGGTGTTTCAAACTCAGGTCACATTGAAAGGAAAACTAATAAAAATTTTTTTTTTTTTTTTTGGGTAAACATGGTAATTATATAAAAATAAAAGAATTACTAAGTAAGTAGGGAACTCTCCTAACGAAAGGAGAACCTTGGACAAGCCCCCAAGGGACCGAACTACAAAAGAACAAGACAACAAGGATATACAATCCTTAAAAACAACAGCAACAAAAAAACACAAGAACCCCACTCAAAACCTAGAGTGCCTTTACAAAAAAGGAGGCAAAAAGAGCTACCTAAAGCAGCCAACCTGCTGCACCTGCATCAGCCAAACCGCAGCCCCAAAGAGAACCAGACAACACACCACAACTCCTAAACCAGCTGCACACTGTACATCCTGTATAAGCTTCTTAATGTGCCATCTACAACAGGTCCAAGCTTCAATACCAACAAACATCCCACTGAACACCCCTAAAAGCAGGCCACTCTAAAGGCTCAAATTGAGCCGAAACTAAGCTAGGCGTGGTAAGCAGATGCACTTGGAGAATTCTATATGGCAAGAAGAAAAAGAGTTAATTAATTTAACTACCCGGTTAGCTGACTCACAATCAGGATTCTATATGGCAATATGTGGCGGCTGATATTTCAAGTGTTACATGTATAAAAATGTTTCACAACAAGGTTACTCTGATTTTATGTCCTTGTAAAAGTGCATAGGGAGTTAACTAACTTAACTTTCTGGTGAGAGACTATACAGTTATGATCCTACATGACACTGTAACACTTGACGTCAAGTGTGATGTGTAGAATGAGGCAGGTGAATTTAGGTGTGACACGTAAAATGGGGTAGTGAATTCAGGTGTGACGGTTAGAATGATATCACAATAGTAAGTTATGAATTGAAGGATAACAAAATTCCCTCATTGCTATGGACAATTCTAGCTAATGATTCTTCACATAACTGGAACAAATACACCACAGAAATCCCAAGTCTCCCCTTGATTGGAGAAAAGGACCTAGAGGGATTAATCACAGGACAAAGAAAACTCATCATCCCTTCATAAGCACTACTCCAGGCTCAAACAAGGTTTGTATTGGCTGCAATCTTGTTCAGAAAAAGCAGAACCAGACCCCATTAAGCTTGCTGAAGTCAATTATAACAGAAGGGGTTCTTGGTGCTGCAACAGATTACTCCACCACTTATGAAGTTTAGCTAGCTCTCAAAGTTTTTACTGCTCACAAGACAAAGCTCATCCTACAGCCTAGGATGCAACTTTAAAATACAAGAAAAAGTAAGACAACCATGAGTATTTTCAAGATTAAGTCCAGTACTGACTAGAGCATTGTCCCGTGCTGTCTTTCTGAAGATGCTCTACACATGCAGATCTTGGCCGGGTTAGGATTAGAGTATGGTCAAATTGTTGTTATTGAAGATACATGGAAATCTTCATCAATTTTTCTAGCTCAATCTCAATTTGCCTCTTGATGTGGCTTTTTCATTTGTTTCTTAGGATTTACATGGCTGCATCTTGTTTCAATAACCTTCTTCATCATTCCTATTATTTTTTATTGAGTTTGGGACTTTCTTTCTTTCTGAAACTTGTTTGCTGCTTAATCTCTAGGGTCTTAAAAATCCATCGCTAGAATGCCTAAATGGCTTGAAAGCGCAAAGTATTCATTATGGAAATCCGAAGTTCTCCACTTAGATAGAGCAAATGACCAATCACAGAACTCTAATCTCCTAATAGCTTTATAGCAAGCACTAATCTAGGTCTTGGAGTGATAAGGACTCAAGTCATCTGCAATTTTCATGATTAGGGGGAAAGGCAAAAACATCTTGGACTGAAAGGGAATCAAGTCTCACAGACATGATAATTTCAAGGACAAAATTTTGGACTCTTGCAATTTTCATGATTAAGGGGAACGACAAACATCTTGGAGTAATGAGGAATCAGGTCTGGCAGTTTTTATAACCGTAAGGATAGAATTTTGGAACTAAGAGAAAACAGCAAACAAACCCAGGGAAGAAATAAAGACTATTGCAAATTAAGATTAAGTCGAGAAAATCAATCAAGATCTTCATGTCTCTTTAGGGATGACTAAATTAAAAGTGTTTTGAGTGCATGAGTTAGGAAACTGTTGTGTTTGTTGTTCTATATATATTAACAAGTGGGATTTGTCGATTTACATTTGTTGAATCTGCCATATTAATTGAAGATTAATCACTGCTCTGCTACCATGAAAAAAAAGTTCCAAAGAGCTAGCTATAGAGTTAGAGATCAAAAAATTACAGAGAGAGCAAGCAAAGAAATAATGGACAAGAAGAGACTTTTTAATTTATTGAATAAGTTATACCCTACATTGTTTACACACACATGCGTGGAATACTCTAAAATGGAAATTGTTGCAAATCATGTGAAGAATCATCAGCTATAATTGTGCATAGCAATGAGAGAATTATGTTACCCTTCAATTCATAACTAACTAGTGTAATATCATTCTACATGTCATACATGAATTCACCTGCCTCATTCTCCAAGTGACAGTTGACATCAACTGTCACATACAAGTAAGTTAAGTTAGTTAACTCCCTACAAACTTTTACAAGGACATAAAATCCGTCCTGATGTATCTTACCCAATGGATATGATTGGGCTATGTTACTCTGATTTTATCTAATCCTCTAAAATTTTAATATGATTGATTCAACTAACAGCAGGTAACAACTTTCTTTAACATCACCATGCTTGTGTTCTCATTTCTTTTTCATATGTTTGAGGCTCTCTGAATGACATACTTATAAAACCTAATACTTGGTTTGAGCCTCTGAGAAAATGCTTTTTTAATAAGAAACAAAGAAGAGAAGTTAGGATCCTAATTTCTCTCCTCAAACTCAACAAATTTCTCTGCAGAAGTTGAGATGAATAGGGACCATGAGAAAGTACAATTAGAATCAACCAACCAACCATGATGCATAAACACAGAAATTGAACTTTTTAAATTCTATTCTCTTCTAAACATTTCCTTCCATAATTTAGCACACATGAACAAAACTAAATTCAAAACAAAAACAGAATTTAGACAGAAATGAATGTAAAATAATAAGATCAAATAAAGTTACCAGTAAGAGATTGGAAGCAATGGAGATCAAAAGTATCCGCTTCAAGGAGTTCGATGCCCGAACAACCAGTAGTAGGGGATAACTGTTGAGAGATCGCGTGCATTGAATGCCATAAACTAGCCACTCTCAGGCTATCATTTGTGTCCATTCGTCCGGCTGATCCATAATCCTAATTATTCCACAAAATCAAATCATGCTCAATTTCGACAATCAAAGCAAAATAATAGAGGATAGAGATAATACCTTGTAGAAAATCAACCCGCCCGATTTGTTAATGATGTAGAGACTGTAAATTGCAGCCATTTTTAAGAGCTTTTAGGAATCAAATTACTTAAAAGGACGAAGAAGAATCAGATGAGAGTGAGACTCAAATCTCTATATGTCAATGGTATTAAAAAATTAAAATAATAATTAACTAGAAATCACACGGTCATCATAACGCCACGTATACATATTTTATATTTTTATTGAAACCGTGGCTATTAGAGGCGTTTCTACTGTTGTTGTCATTTATAAGACGCAAAAGAAAGTAGCGTGTCTGTGCATCTCAGTTACAGGTATATATTGATCCTTGGTTAGGTGGTGAGTGTTCCAACTGTTGAATTGGAAAGCTGAAAATGGCAGTGATGGAGAATTCAAAACCAACGGTGGAGATCAATGGACTGAAGTTCACATATCCAGGGATCGACGGTCATCCTCCGCCGGGTTCTACTCCACTGATTGACGATTTCTCACTTACTCTCAATGCTGGAGATCGCTGCCTTCTTGTCGGATCAAATGGCGCCGGTTTGTCCCCGATTTCAGCTTTTTTTTTTTTTTTTTCTTAGAACTAAGAATGAATCTGCAATTGAATTATGTTATGTTTGTAAATAGGCAAAACGACGATATTGAAGATACTCGGAGGAAAACACATGGTAGAGCCTCACATGGTGAGGGTACTTGGCAGGTCTGCTTTCCACGACACCGCTTTGACCTCCTCTGGTGATCTCAGCTACCTTGGAGGAGAGGTTTCACTTTTTTCCATCATTTCTCTTTTATGTTCTGTAGTTTATAAAAATTTTTACAAACTAATATTTGCTTCACTAAAAAATATATCTAATTTGATGATTGATGATTAAAAAATCGGTTCAAGAATATAGGATATACTTATTGCATGTGCAAAAAAAAAAAAACATTGCCAGTTTATTAATGGAGTATTTCTTTTACAGATGTTGCACATAAGATTTCTAGTTTAAAAGGCACCGCCATGATACAAAATAAATTGATTTGATAATCTGTTTAAACCTAACAATGGTACTTCATTACTTTAAGTTAACTTAATTCTTTGTTTTTGTCTTATAAAATTCTTATTGTATTGAATGGAGCTCTTTTCATTTTTGCAGTGGAGGCGGGAGGTTGCTTTTGCAGGGTTTGATGTTCCAATACAAATGGATGTTTCGGCAGAGAAAATGGTATTTGGAGTAGCAGGTATTGATCCTCAAAGAAGAGCTGAACTAATCAAGGTAAAACGCAATGAGTGATTACTCGTTTATTCATTACTCAATGATGGTGCTGTGATGTTTTGCCGATATTCAGATTCCTTTTATTTTCTTGGTAGTTTAGGTCTTAGATATTGATCTGTCATGGAGAATGCATAAGGTATCTGATGGTCAGAGAAGACGTGTTCAAATTTGTATGGGTCTCCTCAGGCCTTTCAAGGTACAATCTATTTCATTGTGCTTATGCTGTCAAGAATTCATCTTCATGCTTTGTAGAGCAGTCAAAAAATTTGTTGCGTCTCAGTACCAAATCCCTGTTTGTCTAGGTCCTTCTTCTGGATGAGATAACAGTTGATCTTGATGTGCTAGCAAGGGCTGATCTCCTCAAGTTTCTGAAGAAGGAATGTGAAGTGCGTAGTGCCACAATTATCTATGCTACCCATATATTTGACGGTTTGGAGAACTGGCCATCTCATATTGTATGTCTCTGGTTCCATTCTCAGAGCTATTTTATAAGAATTATTTTCTAAATCTATATTATTATAATGACTCTAAATGTTAGACAGTTTGTTCCATATGCTTCTCATCATCCATTCTCTTTTGTTGTTCTCAGGTGTATGTGGCTCATGGGAAGTTACAATTGGCAATGCCAATGAATCAAGTTAAGGAGATTAGCAAGCTGTCACTAATGGTAGCTTTCCACATCCAAACTTAAAATTTTGATTTGTAGTCTGTGGTTTGTATAGGTCACTGATTATGGCTGGTTTTAGGGTATCTTATAATTTTATTATGGATTTTCTGCATCTCTTATGTTCTTGGTTGAAATTGCAATAACCATTTTAGAATTGAACTTGTAGAGAACAGTGGAGAGTTGGCTGAGGAAGGAAAGAGATGAGGAGAGGAAAAGAAGAAAAGAAAGAAAGGCAAGTGGTCTTGCTGAATTTGGAGAACAAGTTGAGGGAAGCCGTGTAACTGGGGATCCAGCTCGTGCAGCCGTTCGTGCACTGAACAACGGTTGGGCTGCAGGAAGGCTGCAGTCCACAGTTGCTGGTGAAGAGAACTTTTTCTTGAGCTCAAACAGAGTTCTGAGGTAGTTGATGAAGTTATCTCAAAACAAGTTCTCGGATTTTTCCACAATTCATTTCAATAATTAGTTCTTTACCCAGAATTACACAATAAGTCAAATGTTGCTAGATGAATGGCATCACCTAGTAGCATAGTTTGCTTATAGTTCCATATACATATTTGTTTAATCTGTTTACAATTTGTCTTTTGATGTGAGCATATAAATCAAGTAAAATATATCCAACAAATATCAGTAAGTTACTTGGTGAAAATTAGGCAGATGTTGGATTCATGATTTCTTTGTACCATCAAAATATTACATCCATAAAATAACAAAGATTATGTTGTACTCTGGATTCTCTCATGTCGTGATAAGACACTGTCTATACATGCTAGTAATCTGGCTGTTTGCTCAAAACAAATACNGTGAGGGTACTTGGCAGGTCTGCTTTCCACGACACCGCTTTGACCTCCTCTGGTGATCTCAGCTACCTTGGAGGAGAGGTTTCACTTTTTTCCATCATTTCTCTTTTATGTTCTGTAGTTTATAAAAAATTTTACAAACTAATATTTGCTTCACTAAAAAATATATCTAATTTGATGATTGATGATTAAAAAATCGGTTCAAGAATATAGGATATACTTATTGCATGTGCAAAAAAAAAAAAAACATTGCCAGTTTATTAATGGAGTATTTCTTTTACAGATGTTGCACATAAGATTTCTAGTTTAAAAGGCACCGCCATGATACAAAATAAATTGATTTGATAATCTGTTTAAACCTAAAAATGGTACTTCATTACTTTAAGTTAACTTAATTCTTTGTTTTTGTCTTATAAAATTCTTATTGTATTGAATGGAGCTCTTTTCATTTTTGCAGTGGAGGCGGGAGGTTGCTTTTGCAGGGTTTGATGTTCCAATACAAATGGATGTTTCGGCAGAGAAAATGGTATTTGGAGTAGCAGGTATTGATCCTCAAAGAAGAGCTGAACTAATCAAGGTAAAACGCAATGAGCGATTACTCGTTTATTCATTACTCAATGATGGTGCTGTGATGTTTTGCCGATATTCAGATTCCTTTTATTTTCTTGGTAGTTTAGGTCTTAGATATTGATCTGTCATGGAGAATGCATAAGGTATCTGATGGTCAGAGAAGACGTGTTCAAATTTGTATGGGTCTCCTCAGGCCTTTCAAGGTACAATCTATTTCATTGTGCTTATGCTGTCAAGAATTCATCTTCATGCTTTGTAGAGCAGTCAAAAAATTTGTTGCGTCTCAGTACCAAATCCCTGTTTGTCTAGGTCCTTCTTCTGGATGAGATAACAGTTGATCTTGATGTGCTAGCAAGGGCTGATCTCCTCAAGTTTCTGAAGAAGGAATGTGAAGTGCGTAGTGCCACAATTATCTATGCTACCCATATATTTGACGGTTTGGAGAACTGGCCATCTCATATTGTATGTCTCTGGTTCCATTCTCAGAGCTATTTTATAAGAATTATTTTCTAAATCTATATTATTATAATGACTCTAAATGTTAGACAATTTGTTCCATATGCTTCTCATCATCGTTCTCTTTTGTTGTTCTCAGGTGTATGTGGCTCATGGGAAGTTACAATTGGCAATGCCAATGAATCAAGTTAAGGAGATTAGCAAGCTGTCACTAATGGTAGCTTTCCACATCCAAACTTAAAATTTTGATTTGTAGTCTGTAGTTTGTGTAGGTCACTGATTATGGCTGGTTTTAGGGTATCTTATAATTTTATTATGGATTTTCTGCATCTCTTATGTTCTTGGTTGAAATTGCAATAACCATTTTAGAATTGAACTTGTAGAGAACAGTGGAGAGTTGGCTGAGGAAGGAAAGAGATGAGGAGAGGAAAAGAAGAAAAGAAAGAAAGGCAAGTGGTCTTGCTGAATTCGGAGAACAAGTTGAGGGAAGCCGTGTAACTGGGGATCCAGCTCGTGCAGCCGTTCGTGCACTGAACAACGGTTGGGCTGCAGGAAGGCTGCAGTCCACAGTTGCTGGTGAAGAGAACTTTTTCTTGAGCTCAAACAGAGTTCTGAGGTAGTTGATGAAGTTATCTCAAAACAAGTTCTCGGATTTTTCCACAATTCATTTCAATAATTGGTTCTTTACCCAGAATTACACAATAAGTCAAATGTTGCTAGATGAATGGCATCACCTAGTAGCATAGTTTGCTTATAGTTCCATTTACATATTTGTTCAATCTTTTTACAATTTGTCTTTCGATGTGAGCATATAGATCAAGTAAAATATATCCAACAAATATCAGTAAGTTACTTGGTGAAAATTAGACAGATGTTGGATTCATGATTTCTTTGTACCATCAAAATATTACATCAATAAAATAACAAAGATTATGTTGTACTCTGGATTCTCTCATGTCGTGATAAGACACTGTCTATACATGCTAGTAATCTGGCTGTTTGCTCAAAACAAATACAGTACATACACACAACTTTTACATATAGACCAAAAGAGGAATGTTGAGTTTTAAGGGATTTACATTTTATACTGCCAATTGGTTGCAATGCTGTAAATGTTTTCAGTAGCAGGCTCTCGTGTTAGAACTTAGAATTAGAACTTGAAAGGCGTTGCATCCCATTCCCAAGAGAAAAAAGGGTTGGTGAGGATGTTGTATCATATGCATGTGGACCATGCTACTACCATTCACATGGCGGGGGAGGAAGAGGTGGAAAAGAAGTACATATGGTTGGAGAAAGTTCTCCTACCAAAAGACTTTTGGAGGCTACAACCATAACCACGTAGTTACATTTAACTAGTGTCGGTGGTGGTTGTTTTAGCTTCAACCATTCTTCTTCCACGTTAAGTGAGTCTGATATTTGTTTTAAGAGCTAACTTGATATTCTCATGATCATTGCTTTAATAAGAAATTACTAAAAACTTCCTTTAATTAAAAAAATAATCAAAACACCCTCGAAAATATCAAAACTCTCTTACAAATTATCAAAAACCCTCTTATAGCAGGTATTTTATATTTTCCAAACGAAATGGACGAGTTTTACACTAAGTTATTTTGTTACAAATATAGTATAAAATTATATTTTAACTTCTAAAGGACCGACTGCCGTCTTAGCTCAGCGGTAGAGCGCATGGCTTTTAACCATGTGGTCGTGGGTTCGATCCCCACAGACGGCGCTGTATTTTTTCTGGACACATCCTTGGCCCGTCTCAGAGCTGCTTGGTTTTTCATTTTGTCAAGCGCCCCTCTTTGTTTGGGCTAGTCGATTTATGGTAAACTCGTCCCACCTCTTTGCTTTGGGCTACCCGATTATCGGGCTTACAGCAACATTCTAAGCCTCAAATACTCCAATGATCATCAAAACAATAGTTGGAAACACAGAGGCATTAATTTGAAGAATATATCCAATATTTCAAGTTCCATTCTGAACTAACACGTTGCGTTTGTAAAAGAAAGATTTGTCGGTATAATATTACCATTCTGTTTTTTATATGCAACATGAATAACAATTTCATTTACTACAATCAAAGAAAGAGAGAAAATTTAGTTGCAATTGCTTAAGCAAAGTGGGGGCCTTATTATTGGCTATTGTTTTCATACCGTAACCGAAAGTAGTTTTTTAGATGATAAAAATCTGATAAGGTATAAATGCTAATATACTATTCTTTCTTTCCAAGCTGCAGACAAGTTTTCCCTCTTTTTGGGGCACCACTTATCTTAATAGAACCTACTACCACCGCCCCTATTATTCATCTCACTGTAAACCTTTTTTTTTCCCCTAGCGAAACCAATAGTTAAATAAGAATCTCTTTTACTTGGAATCAAATGCTTCATCTTAATCTACCTTTGGGTAAATTTTATTTATCTAGTTTGGTCTAAGATATTATAAAAAGTGAAAGATAAAGGGGCTTCTCTCTGGGAAATTGAAGCTATACAGATAAAGGAGGAATCAAAAGAAAGCGAGTAAGTGATAGGCCACAAGGCAAGAATCTTTGGAGATGGGAATGGATGGTTTCATTAGTGCTTGACTTGTAGCTTGGCAGGAAATCATGAGTCAAATATATTAACCCTTCGCCACACAACCTAGGTTTGATTATGAGAGGAACACTTTATTCACCGTAACACAATCTCACAATCTTTCAGAGCCTATCCATCCCCTTTCTTATCGAAATTTGCAAGAAAATGCCCCTTTCAAGGGGGTTGGATGCTTAATCGTGAAATGGGTTCCACCTTCGAAAGTAAGGAAGCAAACGCTCACTCACTAGAAACCAATTGCGAGCTGTCACGTCAAAGTTGTGAAAGAAAGTTTGTAAGATTGGGTTGTAAGTATTGTATTGCCACTTTAAATTTATGAGTAATTCTAGGTCCACAACCCAATCTCATAACCCCTAACGTGGTAGCTCGTCTTTAGTCGGCTCACAAAATGGGTCCTACTTACTTGTGGATCTCGATTGCCTATTTACAAGCTAACCAATAACGAGTTATCACGTTAAAAGTTGTAAAAGAAGGTTATAAACCCAGTATTATTATAAATTTATCAAACGGTTTACATAATCGGTTAATTAAAGGGATTTTTCTGTTTAAAAAAAAAAATATATATATATATATATATCCCTCATTTTTCATGTCCAGTTTTAAAAACCCAAAAACTGTTTATTTTTCCTTGCCCTCGTTATTCATATTATTTAATTTTATGTTACTTAGAGAGTGTCAGAGTGGGAATTTAGGATATACATTTGCTATTTCGCTAATCTTTTGTCGTTTGCTGTACTTCAAATTGTGAGACTTGGTGGACCTAAACCGTATGGGTAAATGTAGTTAACACCGTTGATTTGGGTCCTTGCTATGGTGTCACAGTATTCATTTACAACCTTAAGCTTCAAGTATGTCCGATAAAATTTTGATTGGGGGTCTAGCAGTAAAAAGCTGTTTGGTTGGTTCCAAACTAAATGCAAGCTGGCAACCAGTTCAGAAAAGAGGAAACAGCCAATAACTGGGACTTTTATTGATCTGGGTTCCCCACAAATACCTTCATCTGAAATGAGAAGGCCCACAAATTGATTTCCAACTCAACAGCAAACATTAATTCATGCATGCAATTAGATATGATAACAAATATTCTGGCAAATGGGATTTGCCCAACTGAACCTCAAGATAATTTAAACATTAATAACATTGTAAATGATAGGCACATTTCACGAGAATTCAAGTTATCTTCAGGACTAATATTTCTTCTTTAAATATATATATTGTCAGGATTTCCTTCTTCCATCAGCTAAAAGATAAAGCAATGGAGTGGAGCCATCCACACATGCTCCCCAGAACAACCACCGACAACTGGAGATACCGTGAAGTCATGAAAATAGAAATAAACATTCATTCATACACAAACATAAGGGAATTAATACCATATTATATTTATACGAGTAAAATAAATATATATATTACCAGAGCTGCGGGCTACATGGATTGGTTTCTTCCTGCAGCCACCTTCAGCCTCTTACACTTAAACCGATGGCTGGTTTTTAACTATTATCACCAACCCGAAACGACAAAAGTCAAAACAAAATAATAAAAAACAAAAGAAACCACGCCTTACTTTTCTCACTTTTTCTACCTTACCTATCACAATCACTCTCACTTTTACTTAAATCCTAACATCAAATCCCATTTCACCCATCACTTCAAATTTTTCCCGGGAAAATAAAGGAAAAACAAATGTGAAGGCGGGAAATGAAAATGCTTTTACTTTTTTTTTAACAAGTCATTAATAAAAATCCCTAGACACGGAAATTCTTCCCCGTGAAGGTTTGACCGAACTGCCAATTATGTGGTGCCACGTTCCATGAAGTTGATGTGCGGCGATCACTGCCCCTGACCCTAAAAGAAAGAGCCTGACCCACAAGTACAGCATTAGATTGCCAATTTTGCCCCCAGTTACGGCTCATGCTCAACCAGCCAGTGTTGGTTCCCTTCACGCTCACGTGCACGATATCTCCTGCACCCGCCACGTTGGTCACCAGAACCAAGTTAAAGTAACGGAAACCGTTAACGGTGAATCTGATTCCACCTAGCTTTCTGCATGGCACCCTGTATATAAAAAATTAACAAAATCGTCACCGTGACAGTTAGTGCCTACCCTACAATTAAAGGCACTTTTTAAAGACCCAACGCTAGACCGGTAAAAAAACAAAAAAAAACTCATTATTTAAATGTAAATTAAGGTGGGAACTGTAGGGTACAGAGTCACAAGAAACTGTGACCCAACACACGCGTGGGAAAACGTGAAGTGTGTGTCCCAGATTTTCTGACTTTAAGACACTGACAATTGAAAATAACAGAAATACCCTTTGGTTTTTTTTTACAATAATGTCCTCGTAAAAGTGAAAATTAGTGTTAAGATTTAATGCAAACTAGGGCAAGCCACCGCACCGAAAGCGAATGGGCACTTAGGTAAAGAAGGGTTTGCCGTTGGCTATTTTTGGGTAAACGACATAAAGCTCAAAATAATAAAGGCAACTCTTTTCAGTTTCTAAGATTTATTTAAAGTTAAATAAAAAGTATGACACAACATTTCCCATTGTCTACACTAAACAATGAAGAAAATATTTAAGTAAAATAATGGGCATTTCAGTAAACTCACCTGCGGTAAGCAACGGGAACAATACCAGCGCGGTACTCAGCGATCTTGAGGAACATGGGCATGGCGAGGTCGAAGTGAGGGCGGGGAGGGTTGCACCAGCCGCCATTGTCAGACGGCTGAGCGAAGTTCGGCGGGCAGAAGTTGGTTGCAGTAACGAAGATGGAAGAACCACCAGAGTGGCACCATCTGGGGTCGTCCGCGCACTTTATCTCAAAGCACGCGCCGCAGCTCAGACCGTTGTTGAACAGAGCCGTACTTAATGCGGCCGTGTTGACGCCGTAGCCTTGGCTGTAAAGATTCCCATACCCACAAGCACCACCTAAAAATAGGAAAAAAAAAAAACCACATTTAGTTACGTACGAGTAGTAAAATACGGAGAAATGCAAGGTCAAAAAAGCCTATACCCATAGTTCCGGAGGCGTCACTGCCACCGTAGAAAGTAGCATGGGCACTCTGCCATGGCCCACCGGTGAAAACACCAGGAATTTTAGCATTCACCGCCGCGAAAGAGGAAAGTGTGAGTAAAACAAAACAGAGCACATTTGCAATAGCCATTGTTAGTGAGGTTCTGGGAGAAAGAGAGAGAGAGTGAGTGGAGTGAATGGGCTAGGGGGCGAATGAGAAAGCGGGAAGAAGGTGATGGGTGTACTTAAAGAGGAGATAGCGGTTAGGGTTAAAGAGAATAAAGAGTGAAATGTAATTAATGGTGTTTGTTACTGCGAGTGGTTTTTCTCTCAGATC